TGTAGGGAACGATGACCGGCGGCGGGTCTACGGGGAGGATGCCGACGTGGAAGGAGAGAGAGAACAACAAGCGGAGAGAGAGAAGACGGCGAGCGATCGCGGCCAAGATCTACGCGGGGCTCCGCGCTCAGGGGAACTACAAGCTTCCGAAACACTGCGACAACAACGAAGTCCTGAAAGCGCTGTGCAACGAAGCTGGGTGGATGGTGGAAGAAGACGGGACGACGTATCGCAAGGTAAATCTGAGAAGTGAGAAGTGAGAAGTGAGATCTAAGATGTAAATAATTAATAAAATTAGTTTTGGGACAGGGGTGCAAGAGACCTGCAAGCGGAAGCGAGATAGGAGGCGCTATGGATTCATCGATTCAGGCGAGTCCACAATCGTCTTCATTCCCAAGCCCAGTACCCTCGTACCAGGCGAGCCCAACCTCTTCCTCCTTCCCAAGCCCAACACGTATTGACGCAAACAACTCCTCCTTTCTCATCCCATTCATCCGCAACATAACATCCATCCCTGCCAATCTCCCCCCTCTCAGGATATCCAACAGCGCCCCCGTCACTCCCCCTCTTTCCTCGCCGCGAGCCTCCAAGCGCAAGGCCAACTTCCACCCCCTCTTCGCCACCTCCGCCCCCTCCAGCCCCACGCGCCGCCACCACCTCGCCACCTCCACCATCCCCGAGTGCGACGAGTCCGACGCCTCCACCGTCGACTCCGCCTCCGGCCGCTGGGTGAGTTTCCAGGTCCAGACGATGGCCGCTGCCCCCCCTTCCCCGACCTTCAACCTGATGAAACCGGCGATGCAGATCGGGTCCCAGGACGTGAACGATGGCATGCAGATGCAGTGGGAGCGAGGGTCCGATTTCGACTTCGAGAACGGAAGAGTGAAGCCGTGGGAGGGTGAGAGAATACACGAGGTCGGAATGGATGACTTGGAGCTTACTCTCGGCGTCGGAAAGCCCTGATGCCCATGCTTAGATCTGCTCTGCCCCTTACTCTTATGCTTTTATTTATTTTTCCTTATGTATATACCTGTTCCATTACCATTACCATTACATGGATTTTCACTTCGTTGTAATGCCTTCTTAATTCTTCAAAGCTTGCATTTCAAGCATCTCCTTTTAATCAAGACCAGGGGAAACCAACTCATTTCCTAATTCTTTCTCTTACTGCTTTCAAATTCCCCTCACATCTGTATTTCATAATACTAATTTTCTAAGGGTGAAACCATGTTTGGATAAAGCTTACAAGGGTTTTTCAAAGCTTCTGTTCTGCCTAGTACTCTTTTATTTTTAGTACAAAAACCTTTCCCAAATCCTTTCTGTTCTGCTTTCAAATAAGCTTGTACTCTTTATTTATGATTATATGCTGATTGATACCTTTTCTTCCTTTGACTTGATCTCCATGAGCTTGTGTGCGTGCACTAGTACAGTTTTTTTATTTGTGTGCTTGATTTTGATCTTCTAGGCTTTGTGTGTTCCGCATTTGAAGTCTATAACTAACTTGCTGCATTGTTGTTTCAATGTTTTGTTAGTCATTGAATACAAAGTATGCACTTCTTAAAAGAATGAGTGACTCAGCTCTAGTATGTTTCCTTCTTGTGGGAAATCCGTGAGTCTAGCTTGTAAGTTTTATGATCTCCTACCACTGAGATACTACTGTGGAAGCAACTCTGGCAAGCTTGCAAATGATGATATAGCTATAGGTTAACATTGGCAGATAAAAGTGGGTTTTAGATCCAGGGATATATTTCTCCTCTATCTTATACGAATTATCTGTTTCTGATGGAAGATAGGAAGTAAGATCTTTTTCCAAATAGATCTTTTTTCTTCTTGTTTATTTCCCGCAGTTCCCAGCAGGGGATGCGTTCGGAGAATTTCGTATGCAATGAAAAAAAAAGCTGTAGCAAGAATTGGGAAGGGGGCATCTCATACAGTTTATAAGGTACACCCTTTTTGCAATGGTTTAAGGGGGGTATTTCTCATGGCAACATTTACAATCGTGTTTTTTTAATTTTGAATTTCATCTTCCCCAGCTCGTGTTAAATTTTCTTTGAGGGCAAATAATGTTTTCTTTGTCAATATTATTAATTTCTTTCAACGTAACTCTTCAGTTCAGAAGAAGAAAAAAAACTCTAATATAAGTTTTTATTTTTATTTTTATGGAAGGTGGATAAAATATAAGTAATTTTTAATTAATTTCACCCTAGTTAATGAAACTATTTTCAAAAATACTCTATCTATTTGAGATTCTATTTTTAGTACTTTATCATTATCCATATTAAGTTCCATGAAGGAATGTTTAGTAAAAAGTTTATTTTGAAAAATGAGATATCGAAATTAAATGTTGTGATATGATTTAATTGAATGATGGTAGCTAAAAGCCGTTACTTTCTGTTCTGTTCGTGTTTAATTGGAAGTCAAAAATGTGGCACTTATTATGGCACTAGGTATAAATAATCATCGTGTATTAGAGTTTGTTTTTGTTGGTGATTATAAATTTTCATTTTATAATTCTTCCTCTCTTTGTTCTATTTTACAAAATGTTTGCGTGAAAGCTTTCTTTCCCAACAAATTGGTGTTTAGAACTTCTTGAATCTTGGAATTGGATCTTAGTGAATATAGCTTGTTCGAAGAACATTTTCCTTGTAAATCTTCCGGTTCTTGGTGAAAAAGAAAAATATATGAGAGAGATGGTGAATACAAGTGAGAGTCATTTTTGGTTTTAAAGATATGCTTACAATAGCGAAGGGTGATTATTGGGAGTTGATTAGTAGCCTCATGAATGACCAAAAGCAACATATAAGGAAGCCAAGAAGAAATATTGCAATGTCATGTTATTGATACATCAATTTGTAGAGTCAGCCAATTCGATAAAATTGTCTCAACTTCAATGAAAAAGGTGAGTGAGAAGCATTGAAAAATCCATTGATTAACCAACAAAAGTTGTTGATAACGAATAAATTTCGGGATTCAACTCATTTAAAGAAAAACATTTCTTTATATATACTTCAAAAGTAAGTCTAGTTAAATTTATCTTGTTTAATTTATTAAATTCAACTATTAAGTTAAAAAATTTTAATGTATAAATCAAATATGCAAATTTATATAATTTTTAAAAACTATTTAATGCTTCGTTTCTTTAATTCAAATTGACAAAAAAATTATAAAAATATTTTATACATTGATTTAAATTAATGAAATGAATTATTAAATAATCTTCAATTTTTTTAAAAATTTTTGTATTTGATCTATGCATTAAAATTTTTTAAATAGTTTTTTAAAATTTGTAAATTTGATCTATTTATTAAAAAAAATTAATTTGACAGTTGAATCAGTAAAATATGGTATAAAATATAAATTATTAAGTAAAATAAGTTTAACTAGAGTTGTTCTTAGAGTAAGTAAATTTTTGCCCTCTATATATATATATTGATCGGGCAAGTCCAAGCAACAAAAGGGTGGTGGTGCTAGTGATGAAGATCTACGATCAAAGCAACATAGAGAACCCTTTTTTTTTTTTTCACCTTCCTTCTCCTCTTGGTGATTTAGTTTTATAAGTGGTAAAGGAAGCTTGTTTTATTCTTATTGTTGCATGTTGAAGTTGTGAAATCAGGGCTTTCGAGGAATGCGAACCCAAAATCTAAAGTTGCTGATCTCTAGTGGAGGGTATACATGTTGCATTTGAACTCATATTGAATATGTTGTTTATTTGTCTTTAATTTAATTTATAAATTAATATAAATGCACTTCATTATCACTTAGTAAAAATAAAAGAAATTAAATTATGGTACACTTTTCCTTACACATAGTGGGTGTAGCCAATCAAATTGAGTCATAATTCATTGAAATACTTCCTGTATAGTTTAAGAAAATCATATTTTTACTTTTATTGTTTATCAATACCTGGGCTTAATAGGCCCAATAAGTTTATCTAACTACGGCCTAAAACATAAGTCTATAGGTTGATGATATATACACCTCCATTTTTTTATTCATACACCCCCTCTTTAAAAAAAAATATTAAATTTCTAAATTATTTGGAATAAAAAAAAATTATTCTGGAAAGTGTTTTTCAAAGGTTGATGATATATACACCTCCTTTTTCCTATAAGTACACTCCCTTTTCAAAAAAAAAAATTAAAATTTTAAAATATTCTTATTTTTTTTTGTTTTTTTTAATTTTACATTCACAACATTTAATTTAGTACTTTTTTTTACAAATCTTTCTTTTTTCTTCTTTTTTTCTTTTTTCAATTTTTACATGCACCCCGTTATCTTTCCTTCACCCCACCTATTTTGGTAGCATGTAAAAATTGAAAGAGAACAAAAAAAAAGTGTGTGAAAAAAAAGAAAAAAGTAGAAAATTGAAAGTTAAAGGTATAAAATTAAAGAATATATATATATATATAATATTTTATAATTTTTTTTAAAAAATAAAAGGTGTACTTATAAAAAAAACAGGAGGTGTATATATCATGAGCCTTCCGAAAAGAACTTTCCTTCAGAATAATTACGAAAAATACTTTCCAGAATACTAAAATTACTATTCTGGAAATAAATTTCCGTCAAAATAATTATGGAAAATACTTTCCGTAACACTAGAATTATTATTGCAAAAAATTCTTTCCGGAATATTAACAGTGTGTGTATTTGTTACCATAATTTCAGAAAGGACTTTCCGCAATAGTAGTTTTAGTGTTACGGAAAGTACTTTCTAGAATTATTCCGATGGAAAGTTATTTCCGGAATAGTAATTTTAGTATTCCGGAATAAACTTTCCATAATTATGTACAAATACACCTCCGAAAAAAATTTTCCAGGATAATTTTTTTTATTTCAAATAATATTAAGGATAATTTAAGAAATTTAATATTTTTTTTAAAAAGGGGTGTATGTATAAAAAAATGGAGGTGTATATATCATCGGCCAAGTCTATAACTTGACTGGTTTAAATCAATTAACAGCAGCCCAACAAAAAGAAAAAAATTATAGGAACGAGTGAAACAATAGCACATTATTTAATTATAGGTTAAATTCCACTTTTGGAATCCAATAATTCTTATTGTGAGATTTTGGTTCTTAAATTTCTAAAAGGCTATTAGTTTCATGCATGATTTGATTAACATATTTTTAAATATTACTCTCAAGTTTTATGTATTTATGTACATTATTTAATACACACATATATAAAAAATTATTATTATTATGTAAGGATGGTTGTTTTTTCCTACAACTATTTAGTTATAAGTAAGGTCATTATTTTTTTTTTTGTGAGTTATTGGGTCATTTGTTTTTCACATGTCATCATCATTGTTATTATTATGTAAGGATTAAAAAAAATTACTACAACTATTTAATTACAAGTAGGGTCATTATTATTATTTTTTTAATAATTATTGGATCATTTTTTCTCATGTCACCGTCAACCCTTCTCTAATCAACTTGTCCTCATTATTATTATTATTATTATTATTATTATTATTATTGTTATTATTATTATTATTATGTTAGGATAAATTTTTTTTACTACAACTATTTAGTTACAAGTAGGGTCATTATCTTTTTTTTTTTTTTTTTGTTTTCACATGTCATCTTCAACCCTTCTCCTCTAATCAACTTGTCTTCATTATTCTTCTCTAATGAAGAAACCTGCACATGATCTGACAGCTCTAAGCAATAGTGTGTGTGCTTTTACTGGAACTCCTTCACTACCTTAATTGGTTTGAAAAGAACATAAATTCACTACGAACCACAAATTTACTCATTATGACAATCCTAAAAATAAGTGAGTTCATTCTCCTTACTCTTTATCCCATTTTGAATCCAATTTGATTCACCCAAGTTATCTTCTTATTTTCATACTAAATTCTCATCTTCAATTCAAATTTATACTCAACAATCAAAATAAATCAAATTAAAGTAACAACAATTGATATAACATGTTTTGTTAGCCCTTTTTGTATAGTAACAAACATAAAAGAATCATAAAATCACGTATTTCTTATATTCAAACGTAACAAACATAGAAGCTAATAATTCAATATGAAAATAAGAAGTAAAATAACTTGGGTAGATTAAGATGAGGTTCAAAACGAGACACAAAGCAAGAAGAATGAACTCATATCTTTTTGAGATTTTCACAATTAGTGAAGATAGTGAAGAAGTTCCAATACAAGCATATGGCTAGTTAGCGTCATTGGATCTTGTTCCGATTTTATTAAAAAGTGTTTCTCATTAGAAGAGAAAAGTTAAAGATGACTCGTGAATAAAGAACAAAAGACCCAATAACTCTGGTTTGTAACATGCATGTGAGTACAGGAAGCTAGGGAATAACGCAACATTTGAAAGCATAAAGAATGGTGGTCACCTGGTTCACATGGAGCGACCATG